AGCTGATTCAAATGCAATTTCTAGTTTCAGTTTTTTGAGGACTCGCCATACTGATTTGCATAGTGGTTGTGTCAGCAGAGCTTAAAGGATGCAGAACAAGAGTCTACCAGAATGCTGGGCTCTTGCCTTCCCATTGCTCACTCTCCCCACCCCCGTTTCACTTCTGCTTCTGCAACAGCTCACCAATACAAGGTTGTCCCGTGAAATAAGAATGGTATAAAACTAAAACCAAGACCCTGTTATTCAGGGCCCTTTGATGGATACTTGTCCCCCAAGGGACCTTTTGCTCCTACTGTGTCTGGGTGGCTTGGTTTGGGATCCCACTTATCTCCTGCTTCAGTTGTACCAGTTTACATTCCCACCAAGTATTCCTTTTCCCCCCACAGCCTCACCAGCATTTGTTATTATTTGATTTTTTTGTTTGTGTTTTTGGTCTTTTTGAGACAGGGTTTTGCTATGCGGTTTAGGTTGGCCTTGAACTCACCATGTAGGCCAGGCTGGCCTTGAACTCACAGAGATCCTCCCGCATCAGCCTCCTGAGTGCTGGGATTACAGGTGTGTGCCACCATGCCTGGCTATTATTTTACTTCTTGATGATGGCCATTCTTTCTGTGGTAGGATGGAATCTCATTGTTGTTTTAATTTTGATTTCTCTAATTGCCAGTGATGTTAGCATTCTTCATGTATTTATTGGGCATTTGTACTTCTCTTGAGAAGTGTCTATTCATTTCAGTTGCTCATTTTTTGATTTTTTGATTTTGAAGGGGTTCAATTGTTTTGAGTTCCTTTATATATTCTAGATATTGTATTCCTTTGCCTGAAGAATAGCTGGGGAAAATTTTTTCCTATTCTGTAGGTTGTATTTTCATTGTTTTTTGCTTCTTTTGCTGTGCAGAAGTTTTTTAATTTGACATGACCCCATTTGTTGATTCTTGGTATTATTTCCTGCACAATTGGGGTTCTGTTCAGAAAGTTCCCTCCTATTGCCTATGGTTTCAAGAGCTGTACTTATTGTATCTTTCAGCAGACTAAGGGTTTCTGATTTTTTGGTTTTTAGGTTTTTTTTTTTTTATTGAGACAGGGTCTCTTACATAGTTCAGGCTAGCCTTGAACTCACTTTGTAGTCCTCGAACTCACAACGATACTCCTGCCTCAGCCTCCTGGGTGCTGGGATTACAGGTGTGCACCACCATGCCTGGCAAGTGTTTCTTTTTAACATTTAGATCTTTGATCCATTTTGATTTTAGTTTGGTGCATGATGAAAGATACAGGTCTAGACTGAATCTTTTGCATGTAGCTTGCCAGTGGAAGATGTTTTGGCTCTGGTAAACTGAAGGGGTCAGGAGGGTGCAAGGATTACATTTGGGTGAATCTAGGCTGAAGGGTGTGAGACAAACACAGATTTTGTTTTTGCACTGTTCCATTCACTAGGACAATGGAGAAAAGGGACTCAGGCCATCAGACAGCGCCCAGGAGAAGAGTTAGCACCAAGAGGCTGATGCTGCTCAGTTGTGTATCTCTTGAGCAGGGGAATGGTGAAAAGGAACTTGGAAAACCCCAAATTGGGGGGCTCCAGTCCTCTTATCATGCTTTGGGGGGACACATTTTGGAGGGGTGTCTCTCGCAGAGGAGAGTGTACCTTAGCTGGTCCTTCCTCTCCCTGGAGTCCCTTGCTGGTGTGTTTGTAGTCAAGGACAGAGAAATGGGAGACTGTAAAGAAAAGCCGGCTCTTACAGCTGTTCTACAATCCCGGCACTTTGGAGGCTGAGGCAGGAGAATCATGCACTGGAGGCCATCTTGGGCTACATCATGAGCCCCTCTTTGAAAACAACACAAAAAGAACAAACCTTACTTATGAAAGACTTTACTGTAAGATGCTCTTCAATGCATGGAGAATCATCAGGGCCTTGGTCAGCTCTCCTGGACAGCACTTCGGCAGCCTACTCTCTTTTTTGTTTTGGGGGTTTTTATTGTTGTTGTTGTTGTCATCAGTTTTTTGAGGCAGGGTCTCCCTGGTGAGTTCAGGCTGGCCTTCAACTCACTATGTACCCCAGGCTGACTGCAGCCCTCCCGCCTCAGCCTCCCAAGTGCTGGGATTATAGGCGTGCACCACCACACACGGCCATTTTTAAATTCTTAAATCCAATGTCGTTGGTACTTGTGCTATTTTTCTTTCAGCTTGTAATAGTTTGTGCCTAGATGTCCCGCCTCATGCACTCACAGGTGGGACTTTTTCGGAGGTGGCTGGATATAGAGTGTGTGATGCTTGGGTTAAGGACGTAATGCAGGGGTTGATTCATATGTGACGCTAAGGGGGCTGGGGATTTAGCTCAATGGCACAGTGCCTGCCTGGCAAGCGTGAGGTTGTGAGTTCGATTGCCGGTACCAGAAAAAAAACAAAACAAAACAAAAAATGTGACTCTAAGATTAAGAGTGTGACTGCTATCTACTCTACGGGTGGGTAGCCTAGATAAGATATAAAAGACAGAAAGAGGCTTGTCGCTTGTAGCTTACTGCCTTCTGCCTGCCACAAACTGTTTCTCCTCAGCAATGTCCCTCTGCAATGCCTCTGTGCCATGTCACCCAGCCTTGGAGCCAGCCAACTATGGACTAAAACCTCTACAAAGTGGGAGCTAAATAAACCTTGCCTCCTTTAACTTTGGGTGTCGGGTATTTTGTCTCAGCAACAGGGAAAGTAACTAAGACACTGCTGGTGTGAGCCTTAGCTGCTTTCTCCTTACTGTCTCGTGCCACATCAAATTCTGTTCATCACACACAAAAACCTTAAACCCATCCAGGACCCCATCACCCATGACAACACAAGTGCCTGTGATTGCAGAATACAATACACCCTCACGCAGTTGGACTCTGTCTTCTCTAAATCATTGAGGGGAGGACCTTAGCTATAGCTGGCCTTGGTAATTCTAAGTCTGAAGACTTGGAGATCTGGAGGCACTGTAGTCTGCCTTGGTGAGATAAATCACTTTCTTCCTTAGACTCTCAACTTCCGAATCAAAGAATGGACTAACTGTTTTAAGAACTTTGAGTGTGCTATGTGTGGTGGCTCATGGCTATAATTCCAGCACTCTGGAGGCTGAGGTAAGAGGATCACAAGTCCAACACTAGGCTGGGCAATGATGACAAACCTTTTAGAGACTGAGTGCCCAAACCGCCACTCAGAACCCACTCACTATCACAAAGTGCTAACACTGCAATTAGCCGGGCGTGGTGGCCCATGTCTGTAATCCTAGCACTGGGGAGGCTGAGGCAGGAGGATTGTCCCGAGTTTGAGACCAGCCTGGGCTACAAAGTGAGCTCAAGGCCAGCCTGAACTGTATAGTGAGATCCTGCTTCAAAAAGACAAAACAAAACAGAAAAAAACAAAACAAAACACTGCAATCAAACTTGAATACTGAAGTCTTTTTTTTTTTTTTTTGGTTTTTTCGCCGGTACCGGGAACGGAACTCACGACCTTGCGCTTGCCAGGCAGGTGCTTTTTGCCGCTGAGCTAAATCCCCAGGCCCCTGAAGTCTTAATTAAAAAAAAAATCATACATTAAAAAGCACAATAACAGAGTTTTCAATGATACAAACACCCTGTTGTGGCACATGTAGCATAGGTTCACCACCACTGATATAGGAAGACCTGCCCACTCAAAAAGACTCCTGAGACTGACCAGGTCTGGGGATGTAGGATCAGTTTAAATTTCTTACATAAGAAATTCAGAAAGAAACTGGCTAGTCTGCGGCATAGCCCTAGCAGTGGCCACTTCAGGCACAGGCCCTGACACAGTTCTGAGCCAGTGCCTGGGGTCCCAGCAGGCCAAGCTCAGCTACTAATGGAGGAGGTAAACAGTGGCGAAGGATGGGAAAGGTGCTTTAATCAGCATGGCCATGCTAGGAAGCACAGGGCCATGAAGATCTGTCTTCAAGGGGCTGACAGAAGCTTTGGAGTTCTACAGAAAAGGAAAGCAAATGCAAGGGGTGGGGACTGCATAGCTGGGGGGCTTGCAGAGCTGGCAGTGTAGGCTGATCCTAGTGAAGTCAGCTCTTTGATCAGTATCTCAGGACAGGTTCTGTGAGGTCCTAGACAGCCACCATTGCTTGAGGGCTAATCTGGTTCCCAGGATGAGATGCTGGCTTCTGCTGGGGGGCGGGGGCAGCCTCCCTTCCCCTCCTGGGATAATTGCTCCTGCTTGCGAGAGGACCTTAGCTTTCCTGGACTCTCAGGTGGCTGCAGGTTTGGACAATGACTTGGAAGTTGTAGGCATCAGTCCAGGGGCTCTGGACCTGGATATAATACGGGTTGGCAATTAGGTGTCCTTGTACATCTTGAAAACTGCTTCAGTTACTTTATCTTGGTGTCTTCAGTCTTGAAGGGGATGACATAGATCAGGTAAATTTCAGGCTACTTAGCCTTCTTATACAGATGCTCCTTCAGTGATTAACAGGCCTACGTGCAGAGCTGAGCAGGCTTCTGATTCAAAGTTTTAAGTTAATGAGATATAAAATGAAGGCAGAAGCATCAAGCTTTATTCTGGGATAGGAGAGTAAAAAGAACTAAGATGTGTTATGTACATGTACCAACTCCTGCTGATGAATGTAATCCATATGTACTGCAAACATGTACTAAAAAAATATTTTTTTTTTTTTTGAGACAGGGTCTTGCTATGCAGTTCAGGCTATGTAGTAGCTGGCCTTGAGCTTAGTACAATCCTCCTGCCTCAGCCTGAGGGGTGACAGGAGCCCAGCTACAAAATTTTTTATAAACCTTTATCTTGCTTTTAGCTGTCCATTGGGCATCTGTGGGCCTAGACTCTAAATCCCTGTTACACACCTAGCAGCATTTATTTATTTATTTTGGGTCAGGAAGGGTCTCACTAAATGGCTAGAAATTACCATCCTCCTGTCTCTGCTTCCCATGGTGCTGGGATTAGCGTCAGGCACCACCATACCCCATCCCTAGAAAGCCCTTCTGGAATAATTTTTTGGCTTTCCTACCTAGGAGCAATGTCCAGCAATTTGTCTCTTTGTCCTTCAACCAGTTCTTCAGGCTGGCTGCAAAACAAAACAAAAGCCCCACTGAAGTTATAAAGTCATTATGATGGAACCATAGTTATGTTAATAATCCCTATAAAGTCACATTTCTCTGGGTCTCCTACATGGGCACCATCCAGTTTCCTCCTCCTCATATCACATCCCTACAATGGAAGCATTTAATTTCAGGAAAGGGTTCTTCCTTCACCTCTAATGCGCTGTGGTTTTTTTTCTCATAGCACCCTAAACTGACTAAGGCAGAGAGGGACAGTTCTCCCTGGTGCCGGCTGTCCCAAGTACTGCACATGTTTAGTGTTCCTGCTGGTGTAACACCTCCAGGCCATGAGGATCAAACATTTCCACACAAGGTTTCAGAATTACTTAAGGAGTGACGGTGCTCCTTTGAGACATTCCCATAATACACTCAAGTGTTGACCCACTTGGGTCTTTTTGCAAGGATTTCTTTGTATTGTGTGGTTAGTTTAGGTGTGAACTAAGATCCTTGTACAGCATGAATTGGCCATGAATCTTCATCTTCTCTAGAATCAGTCTTCTAAAATGGAGTCACCAACTTCTAATTAACATCTTCTTTTTGATTGCTGGCCAGCACAATTTTAATCTGTGGCTACTGCAAGTTAAGACACTTCCAAGGAAGTCTGTGACCTAACATCAAGTTAATTTTTGGGTCAAATATTTTTGGTAATTTCATACATATGGTCCAAACTGAACTCACTGTATAAAGGAAATGTAGCATGATATAGCGGATGGGGTGCTAGACTGAGAATTTGGAAACCCCACACTAGCTGGATGATCTTAGGTCAATTTCCTCTCTTGGTTTCAATTTCTTTCCCTTTGAAATGAGGAGGTTGAACTACATAGTTTCAGTTCTTTTCAACTTTAATGCTGAGATTTTTATAATCTTTTTGTTTCCATTCCATCATCCATAAAATTGTGCTCACCTTGAGGGAAGCTGAATTTTCCTTAATATTAGTGAAATAGTCCCACATTGTGACCACACAAAAATTAGCTCATGCCAGTGATTCAAACTTCCACACAGGTTTTAGAAGGCCAAGAATAGATTCTTATAAAATGTTTTTAACTACCTGTATAGTATTAGGTGGGCATGGTGGCACATGCCTGTGATCCCAGCACTGAGGAGGCTGAGGCAGGAGGATCAACATGAATCGGAGGCCAGTCTGGGTTACATAGTGAGTTCAGGGTCAACCTGAACTGCATAGTGAGACCTTATCTCAAAAAAAAGAAAAAACCAAACAAACAAAAAACTACTATATAGTATAAATTTATAAATCTTATTTATTATCATATGCTGTTTATGGTGTTTCCTATAAGGGTAGTCACAGGGAGAGAGAGGAAAAGAGAGACAGAAAGAACACACATTTCTCATAGTTTGCTTTTTTGGGATAGGGTCTTGCTTTGTAGTTCAGGCTGGTCATGAACTCATGTTAGTCCTCCTGCCTCAGCCCCCCCTGATGCTGGGATTACAGGTAGGTGCCACCTTACTCAGCTGCACTTTTCATATTTTAATAGAGGATCAGGAAGGGAAATAGAAGAGGATGTAGGTAAAGAAACAATCCCTTCCTACTTGTATCACTGTCTAATCCACAGACATCTCCTCATGTTTACTGCCATAAGACTAGCCACCATTCTTACTGGCTTAAACATTGTTACCTCATTTAACCCTCCCAACAAGCCTACCTGAGCAGGCACTATAGTTATTACTAATTGGGAGAATGAGAATTGAATTCCAAATGTGTGTGATCCCAGAACCTAGGTTTTTTTGTTTGTTTTGTCTTTTTAGTTGAGGTCTTTTTTTTTTTTTTTTTTTTTTGGTACTGGGAATCGAACTCATGACCCTGCGCTTGCCAGGCAGGCGTTGTGCCGCTGAGCTATATCCGCGGCCCTGTTTTGTCTTTTTGAGACAGGGTTTCGCTAAGCACTTCAGGCTGGCCTTGAACTCATTTTGTAGCCGAGGCTGGCCTCAAACTCACAGCGATCCTTCCGCTTCAGCCTCCAGAGTGTTGGGATTATAGGCGTGAGCCACTTCACCTTGCTCAGAATCTAGGTTTTTTAAAGGCTATTTTACTCATTTTTATTTGATAGTGGGACAGATGGGATAAAATGCTTTCCCTTTTCAAAACCTGGCGCCCCACAGTACTAGTCACTTTTCTCAATTTATTCTATTGAAATTGTTATGGGAAACGCTCTTCATAAAGAATCAGCAAGGGGGTTCTAGTTTGGCTGCACTGTATTTCTGGACAAGGCATGTAAACTCTCTGACTCACACTTCTCTTACTCCCAAACTAGACAGAGCTACTTGAAGGGAGGAGCGCATTTCTCCCCCATTGCCCACCTCAAACCCCAGCGAGCAGTGTGAGGCAACACGTGATGTTTAGAAAATACTGACAGAAGGGGTAGACAAGAGAATCTCTAGGATTCTTTCTTATTATTTGATCTTCAGATGGAACCTTAACCAGATATATGCACCACACAGAGGATACAGCAACACTTCGCCTCGGATTTTTTTATAGACAGAAGGTTTGCCAAATTCTCATGAACACTTAACTTGTGTTTTGGGAGGGTTGGTCTTGATGGAGTGGGTGCCGTTCCTCTGATCCTAAGACTGACTGTACTGAGGCCGCCTTTATTTTCGAAAGACTTACGGGTGCGGTTGCGTAACACAAACAGCACCGATAAACTGAGGTAATCTTCATGAAGCGGGTGGGGGAACTCCCGGCAGCATCCCTCCGTGAGAGTGAGGACAAACAAGTCCTTCCAGAGCCAGGCACACCTCTGACTGGGAGCGCTGGGTCTTGTATGCATTCTGCTACTTGACCTTGTCGTGGTCTCTGCGCTTCCCTGGACACCAAGTTCCTCACCTGCAAAATGGTGGTGGCGTCACAGGCGAAGGCTCCCGAGTTGACACCCCAACACCAGGCTCTTACTCTTCCCCTTGTGGGTGGGGCCGAGGCGGGGAGAGCACCCGGCCAAGAGCCGCCTCCTCCTCCGCCCCACCGCTAGGTCCGCCCTTTCCTCCTTCCCGCTTCCCGGCCCCTCGCTCCACCGAGGTGAGGTCACGCGGGAGACGTCACGGGGTTATGACGGCACTGAGGGGCGGGCCTTCGTCGGGAAAGGAAGGGGCGGGGCCTAGGGCGACCACGCGTGCGCAGTGGGCGCGGCGCGGGAGGAGGCGGAGGCGGCGGAGCC